CTGAAAAGCCAGAACCGCGCTGGCATTGGCTTCTCTTCAATCACCAAGACGAGCTGCGACAGCAAACGAAATTGTTTCTGCCGAGTGGTCGCCAGGTCAACCGCCTCGAAGGCGACGCGCGCGCGCCTCTGCAAGTTAAATTTGAAAAGTTCAAAAGAAGACTCTGGCAGCACGTGAACGCCATGCAACTTCTGCAGCTGCCTGTCCCTGTTCCCGTAGAACCTAGCAACCACATGTAAGCCTCGATCGGGAACGCAAGGGTCGATGACGCCACATTCTTCGTCGATGTGCCGACGGAGGGACGCCGCAAATTCTTCCGTGTAGTCCGGAATCAAATATTTGCAAAACCTTGTGGAATTGGCACAGATATCGTCCATCTCTGCGGCGTCCTTGAGCAGTTTGCCACATATGCTCACAATCGCAATCAAATTGGCCTGGTGGGAGGCGCATTTCACCATCACCATGCGGTAGCGCAGCGCGAATGCCCCCCATGCCCGATGCCGAAGAAAGAATTTTAATACCCTCTTCCCAGCGTTTTCATTGGCATTGACGCCGTCGCCTGTCAATAAGTGCGCGAGGCGCACAGTGGCCCACGGAGCCCCCTTGCACTCGTGACCAATTGCACTCGTGACCAATTGCGGCCTAGCGGCTGCAATTCCGTCGGCCACTCCAACGTCGCAGCCCCTGCCGCGACTTCCACGCAAGAGTTCTGCACCTTGGGTGACCTGCCCCGAAAGGGTCTCCCAGCCAATCTGGCATCGTAGCTGCGAGGTCTCATGGAAGCTTCGTCGTGCTGATGGAGCACGAACATTGGAGCCGACTCGGTGGCAAGCCCAGCTGGCAAGCTGGAACCCGAGTGAACCAGGAGACCTTTGTACATATCTTTCAAGATCTCGGCCCAAGCGTCCCGAACTGTGCCAATATAAGTTTTGCTGATTGATTTGGTCTCGGACTCTGGAAAAGAAGTCAGAAAATCCTCCAGCGTCGTTGCGGGCACGGACGGGTCGGCCAATCCAACGCGCACGAACCACGTGCGCTGAATGCGGCCACTCACTTTCGAAGCCAGTGCCGCTTCCAGTTTGGCGGCGGCCTTGCGCCGCTGCCTCTTCTGATGCTGCACCTGGTTCTGCAGTTTTCTGAGCGTTAGGAACTTGCCAGCAGGAGCCCTGCGAGCCCGAAATGCAGCCGCCATAGCGCGATCGAGAGAGGCTGACGCATTTGTCGCGGACTGGAATCGGTCCCTGGACGGAGGATGCGCCTCTAGCTGCTCATCCAGATTCTTCAAGGAATCCCGCACACGTTGCACAGCTAATCTGACGTTGTCTGGCACGGCAGGGGTGCGATCGCTCGCAAGTACATCAGGCCCCGATGGGGGCATCTCCGGTGGGCGGGGGCTGCGCACAGAAGCGCACAGAGTGGGACTTGAGCCGCTGAAATGGCAACGAACCGCGAGCGCGCACACCCCGTCCCCGAATACCTGAATACCCCTTCGCCCCCCCCCCCCCCCTCCCCGCCCCCCCCCCCCGACAAAAAAAACATCCAGAGACAGAACAGCTGCGTCTAGACCCGGAGCGGGCTCTCGGGCGAGGAGCAGCGGGGGGCTGGGACCAAGGCCAGAAGGGGGATTCCGGGCCAGGGCTAAAAAGGGAGCCGGGGCCAAGGCCAAGGGCAAGGACGAACGACAAACGACGACCATCATGAGGTCAGAGCTCCCGGGGGCTGGGACCTGGGCAGGAGGGGAGGGTTCGGGCCAATGCCAGATGGGGGGACTGGGCCAGGGCCAGAGACAAGGACGAGAGACGAATATAAAAAATCCGAGCTTTAGAACACAGCTGTGCAATAAAATAAATATCATCCAGGGTTGGCCCTTACAGCCGAATTTCTGTGCAAAAGCTGTCACTGCTAACCGCCCAAGAGTTGCGGTGAGACATGCGATGGCGGCGCGTTGGGACCTGCGGGCGCGGTGGAACCTGGGGAGGGTGAACAGCGGGGTCCGTGGCAAAAGGGCGGCGGGGCCTGCGGAGGAAACTCGGCGAGATCTGGAAGGAGGCGTGGTAAGGCCTGGGAGGTGGGACATCAAACGTTGGCAGACCCCGGGCGCGCCGTCAGCGCTGGGACAAGCGGGATCCGATTGCTGACAACAGGTCTCCATGATTGGCCACAGACTACTACTACTACTACTACTACTACTACTACTACTACTACTACTACTACTACTACTACTACTACGGCTACTACTACTACACTATACTATACTACTAACTACTACTACTACTACTCTACTACTACTAATACTACTAACTACTACTACTACTACTACTACTACTACTACTACTACTACTACTACTACTACTACTACTACTACTACTACTACTACTATACTAACTACTACTACTACTAACTACTACTACTACTACTACTACTACTACTAGACTACTACGACTACTACTACTACTACTACTACTACTACTACTACTACTACTACTACTACTACTACTACTACTACTACTACTACTACTACTACTACTACTACCAATGCTTACTGGTATTACTACTACTACCACTACTACTACCATTACTTTTACTACTACTTCTTCTACTGGTACGTCCCGAGGCTCCAGCGGGAACCGCGCGGAAGCAGCACAGGTGGCGGCACCGGGCGACGGCAGCGGCGGAAGCTGGCGGACGGCCGCTGCGGCGGGCCGCGGCAGCAAGAGCGGCGCCGCGGCACGGCGCGGCGACCCTTGGACGCCCCAGCTGAAGCTCTTCTGGCGGCGCACTGCCGAACAAGTCCGAGGACGCAAGGGTACCCTGTTGGGAAGCTTAACCCGTCCAAACGATAGCTTTCCACTGCACACTCTCTCACCAGGCCTCGGGGGGGAACGGGGAGGACAACGAGGCGAAGGAGGGTGGAGACGGCTCGATGATCCTCAGAACGTGTACAAGCGCCGACGTGTGTTTGTCCGTCGAGGCCCTTGGATGCGACACAGGCGATGCAATGCTCTACGGGTGGGGCCAAAGGGGATCACACGCACACTGGGCTGGCTCACGTCTTGGGGATCATCGAACGGCGGGAGGGGAGGGACTGGGGAGTCCACAAGGTGCCGATGCCGCTACTCCCCGGACCTCTTCCGGGGTGCGTTCCGATCAGGACTCGATCAGAATCCAGCGGGGGCGACGAGGGCCGCCCAGGGGGGGCCGAAACGGGGAAAACGGGCGAAGGGAAGCGGTATGGGGTACCTTTTCCTCCTCTGAGGGACGGGCGGCATACCAGGAGAAACAACACGGGCGGGAGGAAGAGGAGGAGGAGGAGGAGGAGGCGGAGGAGAACGAGGAGGAGCAGGAGGAGGAGGAGGAGGCGAAGGAGGGAGGACGAGGAGGAGCATGAGGAGGAGGAGGAGGCGGAGGAGGCGGCAGAGGAGGACCAGTGCAAACCCAAAACTCATCACAGATGTTGGAATACACCCACCCTCTAAGCTCCCTCTTCAGAGGCAACATGCAAAAGGTTCATTTCCACTGTTGCCCCGTTCGGGGACAACCGTGCAAAAACCCTGAAACGTGCCAAAGCACCACTACCAGGACTTGACCTGAATCGTGCCAGAGCACCCGTCCTGCAACTTCAGCACCGTGAATCAACGTAACTGCAGCACCCTAGCAATCATGAGCCATTCCCAAACACAAAAGATGGAACGTGAACCATGGGACGGAGTGGAACTCCTGTAAACTGTTAGAAATAATCGTTGATGCGCTAAGGCGACAAACACAGGTTGAAAAGGAGCCGCCCTGAATCCGTGAAACTTCTGCAAACGTTTAAGACGAATGGGCGCGACGCTAAGGCGAGAACAACATCTTGAAAACCACCCGCCCTCAATCCATGAAACTCTTGCCGATGTTTAAATCGAATGTGCGCGGCGGTAAGGCGAGAACCACATGTTGAAGACCCACCGCCCTCAATCCGTGAAGAAAAACGGTTGTGCGCGGCGCTAAGGCGAGAGCCACATTTTTAGGACCACCCGCCCTCCATCTGTGATCCAGCTTCAGGGTCGTAACTGTTGAGGCAGTCTCAGGCGAAACGCCCGGCCCGCACTTTCGACAGTCCTCGGCGAGCAACAGGGAGGAGCTGTCTACGAGGAAAAGGAATGGAGGACGAGGAGGACGAGGAGGACGAGGAGCAGTCCAAAGACCACGGCAAAGAGAAGCCGCGCGGGCCCCGCGTCACCACGGAGCCGGCATCAGAGCCCCGGCCGTCGGCCGCGTGGGGACAAGGCGTCGGCAACGATTGAGATGTTCTACCTCGAGTGCCGAGCGTGGCCCAGTGGGAGGCGGCTAAGAAGGGGGGGTTGAGAAGAAAGGCGCACCCCTCGTGCCCCTTCGGGGCCTCTGGGGCCCGCCTCTGCATCCCTTCATCCCCTGCCATTTGATTGCCCTCCCCGCACGAAAATGTGCACGCCCGAGGTGGGTACGGAAAAAGCGTGGGCACAGTGCCCAACAGCAGGTGTGGCCCAAAACCGGCAGCGACCGCTGCTGGGCAGGCGGCTTTCTGTCCCTCCAGGGAACGGCGTCCGCGGCGGCGCGGGCGGCGAGCCCTGCTCCAAAAAGAACAGGAACTACTGTTGGGCATCGTGCCCATTCTTTCCGTACCCACGTCGATCGTCCCGAGAAGAACCCGCGAATGCTTTCGGGGATCTTCTGACCCGGGTCAATCCCGGGTCAGCCAGGCCTCTCCGAATCCTGCAAGATCCTGCAAGACCCTGCGCCCAAACCGGGGTCCATGCGAAGGATCCTGCAGCATCCTGCAGGATCCTGCACCCAAGCCCGGGTCAGTGCGGCCCTGGCCCTGCAGGATCCTGCAAGATCGGGCGCTCTGGCCGACCCCCATGTTTGCACTGACCCCCGTCCCTCGAGCGGCGAGTACGTCAAAACATCGAGTGCCCCCGGGGCCGTCGCGCTGCCCTGCCCGGCGCCCCCCCGCGCGCGAGGCGCGGGCAGAGGGCGCTCTCCTAGGGCGGCCTCGCTGCCCTCGCCGCCCTCCGCGACGTAGAAGGCGAACTGCCGCCTGCGGGGGCAGGGGGGGGGGACTGCCTGCACAGCCGAGACCAGTCCGCAGGAGACTCATCGCCAAGAAACCCAACCCTCAGAATCGCAGGGTCGGGTGCCTTGCGCAGCGGAGCTCAGCGATGAGACTCGGGGTGCCCGGGGCCAGGCGGTGCCTTGATGGATCGCGCGAAGCATCTCGGCATCAAGACACTCAGGGTACTCTGCCAGCTGCGGCGGCGTCGTCGCGACGGCTGCAAGCCTTGAGTGCGAAGACATACCAGAGAAGCCCAGGGGACCCTGTCAAAACGTCTGGTGCTTCTTGGCATGTGCTCCACCTGTAAGAGGCGGCAGCAGCCGCACGCCCTCGCCGTGGTGAGGACTCAGGGCGATGGGAGGGAAAGGGGCACTCCTCCCCCTTCACCTTTGCTGCGGATGCCCGAGCCTGCGGAGAGAGTGTGCCGGAGGGGGAAGGAGGAACAGAGGGCGCCAGGAGGGCGGACGAGAGCTAAGGGGAAGCAGAGACGAGGGGAGGAGGGCTTGGTTGGACGGCGTGCTCCGATTGAGCTGGCATGCGTGAGTCTACGGCGCGCCTTGTTTGGGGCGTGAAGCCACGCTCTGCTCGGAAGAGAACATGCTGCGGCGGCCCCGGAAACTAGACCGTCTGCGGTGGAGATGATGAGGGAAAAAGTTGCACACCAAAGGAATGAGTCTCAGGAGGACAGAGGAGGGAGAATGAGGAATCTGCCTTCAAGACTGTGGTAGAGAAGAAGCGAAAGGAGGGAGGGAGGAGGAGACGGAGGAGGAGGAGGAAGAGGAGGAGGAGGAGGAGGAGGAGGGAGCCGAAGAGGGAGGAGGAGAGAAAAGGGGAGGAACAACAGGGAAGGGTGTCCTGATCCAGGAGGATTGAGGTCCGATGGTCGAGGGCTACTGGAATGGTGCCCTCCTGAATCTCTGGAGGCCCTATGAGGCCTCCACGCGCATCATTTTCCTTCCCCACCCTTTTCCCCTCCTTGCACTGCTCCTCCACCTCCTCCTCCTCCTCCTTTCCCTCTTCCTCCGCCTTCCCCCTCCTCCTCCTCCTCCCTCCTCCTCCTCCTCCTCCTCCTCCTGCTCCTCCTCCCTCCTGGCGGGAATACAAACTTCAGGAGGAAGTGCGGCCTGCAGATCTCCCCGCTTTCATGGAGAGCAGAGATCAGGTTGAACTCTCTGGTGAGGGAGAGCATCGGAAGCCCCAGGCCTCGGCGCTGCCCCGCCATTCACACACATACACACACACACACACACACACCCTCTCCTCCTCATCCTCCTCCTCATCTTCCTCCTCCTCCTCCACCACCTCCACCTCCAACTCCACCTCCACATCCACATCCTCCTCCTCCTCCTCCTCCTCCTCCTGCTCCGCCTCCTCCTCCTCCTCTCCTCCTCCTCCTCCTCCTCCTTCTCCTCCTCCTCCTCCTCCCCTCCTCCTCCTCCTCCCCCTCCCCCTCCCCCTCCCCCTCCCCCTCCCGCTCCTCCTCCTCCTCCCGCTCCTCATCCTCCTCCTCCCCCTCCCCCTCTCCTCATCCTCCTCCTCCTCCTCCTCCTCCTCCTCCTCCTCCTCCTCCTCCTCCTCCTGGACACCATCATGGTCCTGCTCCGCTCCGTCCTTCTCCGCCCCCCGGTCCTGCCTCCGTGTCCTGCTCATCCCCGCCATACTAATCCTCCCAGCGGGCGCGGGCATCCAGCACAAACAATGCAAAGTAAGGTGGGACCACGTTGACGGCTGGCCTGTCCCGTGCTGCGTTTCCCTTGGGCCCCCCCCCCCCCCCACCCCGCTGGGGAGCACCAGCCCCAAGCCTTAGCGGGAACGATCGCATATCGCGCACGACTCCTGAACAAAACATCCCTACTGCTTCACCCTCAAAGAGGCATCCCCTCCCCGAGGACCCAGCCTGGCGCGAGAGTTCTCGCATGGGTACTGGGCGGCCCCAGTGATCGATGGATGTTACCTCCCCGACCTGAAGCTGTACTCCCACATCGAGAGACCACCGAGGCGGCAGCGCTCCCCCGCTCGCGCCTGCGAAGGCTCCGTGCACAGAAGGGGGAGAAGAGGAGGAGGAGGAGGAGGAGGAGGAGGAGGAGGAGGAGGAGGAAGAGGAGGAGGAGGAGGAGCCAGGCAGAGGGCGCAAAGGAACGCGCACCAGGTCGCCAGTGCATGCGCAAGGCTGATGCGGCCAGAAATGCTGCTCACACACGCACACTGCGCTGCCGAGCGAGCACACAACGCTCGACGGCGACGACAACGACAACGACGACGACGGCGACATACGCGCCGCCGCTGCGGAACTGGGAGGGGCGAGCATCTCTGGGCGGGCGCCACCCTTCCACCTGCAATATTTTGATACGTCAGAAATGTTAGCGCAATTTGTGTCATTAAAATGATGTTCAGCGCCTGCGACAAGACCGAAGACGTTTGGGAAGCCCCGGCCGTCTCGGAGAGCACGCGCGCGTGGAGTCGGCGGCTCCAGCGAGGGGGGCCCCGAGGGATGAGGCCCCCAGAGGACGAGGGGCCTCACGAACGGTGAAGCGACGAAGGGCACGCGCGGGATCCCCTCCCCCTCGGCGGCGAGCGAGGGGGGGAAGTGAGCGGGAGAAGGCCTTCTCAGAAGGCGGCGGTACTTCTCAGAAGCCCTCGCGCCTTCCGAGAATGTTTGGTCGGTCTCCGGGGAAGGCACAAGAAACTCGCAGAAGGCGGGGGACTTTCGAGCCTTCTGAGAAGGCCTTCTCCGTCTCACTTCCCCGCCCCCCGCTCGCTGCCGATCAGCAAACATAAACTGTTGGCGCTCCGCGCGGATTTCTTGGATCCGCGCTGGACCCCTCATCCCTGGAGCGCGGAGCGCGCCAGGGGTGAGGCCTCGTCTGCGAGGAGGCACAGGTGGGAGGAGGGGTAGGAGGAGGTGGAGGAGGAGGAGGAGGAGCAGGAGGAGCAGGAGGAGATCCAAGAAATCCGCGCGGAGCGCAACAAGTGAATGTTTACGGCGTGCTGTATTCTTCGGTGCCGAGGGGCACGGGTCGAGGCAGGGATCGGCCCGAAGAGTGCTTTGTCGGCTCCGCTGTGTTCGCTCTGCCCCTCGCCACGTCTTGATAATCCGCGCCTGCTGCAAAAAACGGAGTCGAGACGACGAGGCCCACGAACTCCGCGGCAGCACCGTGTAGGTCGCCCCCTGGGCTGGGAAGGTTCGCGAAGCTATAACAGATCCCCTCGAAGGGCCGCGCGGACTGCGTGGAACGGCGCTGGCCCCCCTCCCTGGCGCGCGAAGAGCACGCCAGGGGGGCCCGACGGAGACCAAGAGAAATCCTCGCCGAAGTTCGAGAGTTTCTGCTCGTGACGCGTTTTCTTCCTCGGGTAGCAGGCCGAGAGTTCAGAGGAGGAGGAGGTTGAGGGGCAGGGGCATGAGGAGGATGGGAAGGGGGAGGAGGAGGAGGAGGAGGAGGAGGAGGAGGAGGAGGTGGAGGAGGAGGAGGAGGAGGAGGAGGAGGAGGAGGGAGGAGGAGGGAGGAGGAAGAACAGGAGGAGGAGGAGGAGGAAGAACAGGAGGAGGAGCAGGAGGAGGAGGAGCGAGGAGGAGGGAGGAGGAGGGAGGAGGGAGAACAGGAGGAGGAGGAGGAAGAACAGGAGGAGGTGGAGGTGGAGGAGGAGGAGGAGCGAGGAGGACGAGCAACTTCTCTTGTCGAGAAGGCCACGATGCCAGGGCGGGCCTTGACCTCTGGAGGCCGACCCGACGGCGAGGAAACCCAACGGGTACGCATACGCCCGCTCCCCGGGCCTCGCCCTGGGCGCAGTCTGACCAGCATCTCGCGGCGAGTCCCGCCGTGGCGACGAGGGCCTCCCTGGGGGGCTCAAATACGAGGCCGATGTGGCTTCACAGCAGCAATTCGGCCCCTGACTTTCGTCCTGGGTTCGGTTTAGTGAAGTGATGAATTTCGGGGTCCTTACGTTGGAAAAAGCATCACTTCACTAATCTGGGGCCCCTGGGGCCTCAGTGGGCCCTGGGGCCCAAAATTAGTGAAGTGATGTTTTTCGGGCCTCGGATCAAAGAGACGAACAAAAGAACGAAGGGTAGCGGCATCGATGTCTTCCCTGAGATCCGACGTCGCGTGAAACATACAACCTCGCGAGACAAAAACACTGCCAGAACTCGAAGCCCAGTCTCTCTGCGGCAATGTGCAAGCCGGATCGATACGTGAGGGTCCCGGGGCCCGAAGCCGGGCGAAGACGCTGTGAACAGAATGCAACTCCCAGGTCCAGAGATTTTTCCTTCTTTGAACAGGAAGGTCGCTGAGTCCCCAACCCACGATCCCGTCGAACGGGAACACGCCGAACGGGTTGCTGGAACCGCCAGGACCAGGGAAGCGCTCTGGGCGCCCTCGGCCCACAGGCTGCTTGAAACGCGGAAGGCCGCCAGGCACGCCCCCTCCCATAGTAAGGACGAGGCCAGGACAATAACAGAATCGGACTAGGGCTAATGATAAATCCGGAATCTCTGAGATCCGGCGATTCTGGAGGACGCGTCGGGCACGTATACCGCTACCCTTCTCTTGTTTCCGCCTGTTTGGGCCTCCTGGGAGGCCCTCGTTGCAACGGCTGGATTCGCCTCACACTTCTGGTCAGAATGCGCCTCAGGAGAGGTCCCGAAGTAAATGTTTTAGAATACGTCAGGCGTCGCGGCCTTCTTAGAGCGCTCGAGATTGCTCTGAGAGCGTCCCTGGAAGTTCTGGAACGATGTGTGACTGTCCTACCCCGCCCGACGTAGCCCAAATCCCTCCTACAGCCTGCCCCTACCGTCCACTCTTAGCGGGCGAAGAGCGGTATAACATAGAAACTGCTCCACCACCGACGGCGCAGAAGTTTATTTCCTACCGCTCTTCGCCCCCTAACTCTCTAGAACTGAGCAGGGAGGGAGGGCGCAGTGAGAAGGATAGGAGGCAGCTGCTGGGAGGTCTCCGAACAAGCCATTGAAGGAATTTTGCCCGACTACGGGGCCACTACGCCAGACGAGCACAGATTAAGACCAAATAAAATTGGATCGATCAAGGTGAGATAAGAGTCGAATGGGACTGTGCCAGATTATGCCTGTTTCTGGCAACGTATGTCAAGCGCCGATGCTCGATTTGATCTGCCATGACTTGCATCCTGGAGATGGACGCGGGAGCAGTGGGAAGTGGAAGAAAGAGGGAGGACGGCGGAGAGGAGGGGAAGAGGGAACGCAGGATTAGGCCAAGGAAGGGAGGAGGGAGAGGGGGAAGCTCAGCTGGGCATGGGCTGGCGCCAGGCCATGACTCTGAGGGAGGGAGGGAAAAGGGAGGGGGGAGGAAAGATCGGAGAGACGTAAGACTCGGGTTCGGGGGACTCGGGTTGGCCTGACGCGGCCATCAATGAAAATGACGAGAACCGACATGAAATATTTGACGCGAGCTCCCGCCGCAAACATCCCACGAAAGCCGGACCGTCAAAATCCTGGACGCGATCGTCAAAAACGTCGGCAAACCCGAACGCCGGCTTGCTCAAGTCTTACGCATTCCCGACAAGAGTGCAGGAAGCTGCATCCGCTGCCCCCGTCGGGCGCCCTTCCCCCACGCTCATCACAGGAGCATAAGACGGCATATACATATATACATATATATATGTTTATAGTAGGCCAGAGAAGAAACCAATCAGTAGATGGTTTGAAATGGGATCGAGCAAGAGATCGACAAGGGGATCGACCGAGAATCCAGGAACCCAGAAACCACCGAAATCGGCCAAAAACCAATAACCAAGAACCCCGGAACCCGGAAATGGGAACCCGGGAACCGAGCCGTCTACCAAACTCGGCGGGAAACTTTCGCCAGATCTTCCAAGATCCGCTAGGACCCCGTCAGTGCAAGCACCGCTTGGGAAATACATATATCTATATATATATATATAACAACTTTTTTTAAACAAAGGAGAAAAAAGGAAAAAGAAACAAAAATATAAATTAAAAAAAAAAAAAAAAAACGCGAGGATCTCCCCAGCAGGCGCCGGACCCCCCCCCAGGGGGGGTCCAGCGCCAGCACACAGGTTGTTTCTCGTCGCCGGCGAGGCAGGAGTGCTGCTCCAGCGGGCGGCGATCTGGTGCGACCGATGTGCGCAGGGGCCAGCGTGCAGGAGGAGGAGGAGGAAGAGGAGGAGGAGGGGGAGGAGGAGGAGGAGGAGGAGGAGGAGGAGGAGGAGGAGGAGGGGGAGGAGGAGGAGGGGGAGGACCAGGAGAAGCAGGAGGAGCAGGAGGAGCAGGAGGAACAAAAAGGGGGGACAGGGCGGCCGCGGAGGACGGGAGGAGCAGCGCCAACAAAGCAAGAGGCGCGTCAACGCGCCGATGTGGTGTCTTCCTGGACCCATGCGTGGATGAGTTGCTGGAGAGGCGTGCCGGGACGAGGGGGGTGGGGGGATGCGCGCACCACGGTCCAGGGCACATGCGCGGACGGGGGGGGGGGACGCGGGGCAGGGGACGCATGGAAAGAACAGGACGAATCAGAAAAATAAAAATGATGATTAGTAACAACAGCAACAGCAGCAACAGCGTCGTAGCTTACTCGAAGGGAAGCCCCTTCTCCTTGATCCCTTCCCCCCGAAGGGGGGGAAGGGGGGGGGTCCCACCCGGATACCCGGAGGGGGGGGCACCCAGGCGGCTCCCTTCGGGGGAGGGGAGCGGCCGCGACGCGGAGGGGAAGCCAATCTGAGCAACGTCGGTGTTTACTCGAAGGAAGGGGGTCCCGGAAGGGGGTCCTAGGGGGGGTCCCGGGTCAGAATACCACCCTCCCGGGGCCCATGGCCCGCCCTCCCATTCCCGTCGAAAGCCGAGGCCTCCAGGGTCGGCGGCACCAGCCGTAAGGCCTTAGCAATAAATGAATGATTAGTAACAACATCAACAGCACCAGCAACAACAGCCAACAACATTAACAACAATAACGACAATCATTTCAAGACTGTTCGCTCTTACTGGCACTCGTGTCTTGCACTCTCTAGACCCCAACCCTCGATACCCGCCCACCTCGTCTTCGATCGCACCCCCTCTCGGGGGGAATATCTTCCGTGTCGGCCACTGACTTGAAACGCGAGGAACTCTCGAGCGAAAGCGCCGTTCCCCCGTTCCTAAATTCGGGGGCGTCACTCTTGCTCTCGGGCCTCTGGCAAGGGCCTCTGCAAAGACATCTTGAGGAAGTATCGAACAGGAGCCATTGTCGTCGTAGGTGGGCCTCCACCAGTTTGATTAAATCGTGCGAAGGTCTCGAGCGAGAGCGCAGTTCCTGAGTTCGGGGGCCTTGGTGGCCAGGAGCTCTCGGAGCAAATCGTGGGGAGGTATCGAGCAAGTACCCTTGTCGTCGTGGCTGGGCCTCCGCCAACTTAGCTGAATTGCGAGGAAGTCTAGAGGAGCGAGAGCGCCGCTGCTGAGTTCGGGGGGCAGTCACGAACGACTCCCAGACGAGCGCCGCCCAGCAGATACACAAACGTGACCGAGAGGACAAGAAGAAGAAGGAGGAAAAGGAAGCCGCGAAAGGCCCGTCACCGCCCGGTCTTGGGACCCCCGAGGCCCCAGCCGCCCGAGACGTCCACGGAGCACGACCCGGGTCCCAAAACTGTGCGGCGACCCGAAATCTCCGCCGACTTACCACACGGTGTGGTCACCACCTCGTTTGGGGGCCCCCGAAAGATGCCGCCGAGAGCCGCCCCGGGTTTAGTGCGACCTGGTTCAGTGATGTGTACTGGGGGACGCCCCCTCCGCCCCGTTCCACTAACCGGCGCCCGAAAAAACACGAGCTGCGGCAGACCTGGTTTAGTGATTCTGGCCAATTTCGGGGCTCAGGGGCCATACCACTTACCGGGTCCCCTTACCTGGGGTCCTGGCTATACCCGAAAGGGAGACGTGCCCGACTAAACCCTGGAGGTCTCTTTGGGGGGCATGAAGCGATCGCTGCGACGTTCAGGCGGGATGGAGGAGGAGGAGGAGGAGGAGGAGGAGGAGGAGGAGAGGAGGAGGAGGAGGAGGGGGAGGGGGAGGGGGAGGAGGAGGAGGAGGAGGAGGAGGAGGAGGAGGAGGAGGGGGAGGACGAGGAGGAGCGCGCAAACCCTGCGCGGCGGGCGTCTGTCTCGGCGCGCGCCCGAGCGCCCGCGCGGCGCGACGACCCCCGCCGCCCCGCCGCGGGCACGGCACGCCCTCGCGGCACGGCGCCGTCCGCCGCCGCCGCGCGGGCGAGCTCGGGCCTACGGCCGCAGCCGCCAGCCCCCCGCGGCGCACGCGCGGCACGGCGCTGGCCGCCGCCGCGCTGCGCCTGTGGCCGCGCGCCGCCCAGCGCCCACCCGCCGCCGTCCAGCTGGCCGAACGGCCGCAGCAGCGCCCGAGCTGGGCGGCACGCCGCCCTCGATCATCACGCCGTCGTCAGCGCCGCCTCCGCTGGGGCCGCCTCCTCGCGCGCCACCAGCGGGACGGGCTCGCCGATGAGGCGGCCCGTGAGCGGGTGCTTCCCCGCCTTCATCCTTTTCAGCCTTGTGCCCGCCGTGCTGTTGGCGACCTTCCCCAGGCACTTCTCCGCCAGCAGGATGGCCGCACCGCCCCCAGCCCTTGCCCCGCAGGAGCAGCAGAACACCACGTCGCCCATGGTCATCAGGCGGTGCGACGCGTCGGCCGCCAGCACAGCGGCAGGCGCCCCGCGGCACAGCCCCGCTTCCAGCTGGGCGCGGTCCCTGCAGCGCACCCCGCAGCGGTCGCATGCGAACGGCAATGCGCTGGTGCTGCCGACCCACTGCGCGCGGTGCCGCAGCGGCTGACCCTCCGCGCTGCCCACGTCGTCGGGCATGAAGAGCTGTGGCCCGCGCTCGCGCTGCATCCTCGCCGCCACTCGGCGACCGACGCCGTCCTGGCTGGCGGTCCTGCCATCCGCCTGGCTGCTGCCCGCCTCCTGCGCTGCCTGCCGCGCCTCGGCCTCGCGGGGCCGCTTGTCGCCGCCTCGAGCCAGCGCGCCCTTCGCCGTGAAGATCTGCTGCCTGCGGGGGGCCGCCTGTCTCCTGGGCGGCTGCGCCAGCGGCGCGTCGTCGCTGTCCTCACCGCCGTGGACGGCCTGCCTGCCGCTGTCCTGGCCGCTCTGCTGGGCGTCTAGCGCTGCCCAGCCGCCCTCTGGTGTCGGTGACCCGCCGCCGTCCGCCATGCCGTCGGGGTCGCCGCCGCATGCCTGCCTCGTCGCCAGCTGCTGGGCCCAGCGGGGCGGCGCATGGTCTGCTGCGACCCTGCCGCTTCCGCCACCACGCTGGGCCAGGTCCTCGCCGCCGGGCTCGTCGTCGGAGCCTCCCGCCAGGCCAGTACTCCAGCCTGC